AGGTGAAGTCGAAGGTCAAGGAGAGGCTGGAATTGAGAGTGAGGGTGAACCACTAGATGTTGATGTTCTACACGGTGAGAGTGAGGGTGAGAAAAGTCAGAGTTCTCAAGAAGTTGAAATTGGTGATCAAAGGGAAGAAAGTGAAGAGAGATATTTGGAGAGTGATGATGAGGGATATGGCCAAAGAGTTGTAACAAGTAGAAGACGCAATACAATTGATAGTGGATCTGAAAGATCAGGGGAGAACTATTTCATTGCTAGCAAAGACGAGGAAGTGAATCAGGCCAGAAGTTATAGGTATTTTGCTCAATCTCTCTTCCTTTTTATGACTCCTCATACTCGTGATCTGATCACGTGTATAATTTGGTAGTATGGCTTAGAAAATTGACATCATAGCTTCTTCTCTTCCCTCCTTCTAACATAATAAATTCCTATTAATGCGCAACCACTGCACATTTGCTGCAAATTGATTGGTGTTTCTTCTTCCCATTATCTTCTACTTTTTGTTCTTATGATGCTGTCCTGACTACTGACGCATAAGCTTTATGTTCACACTTAAATGCATAGGTAGCGTACAGGAGAAGGTTGGTTAGATACTTAGATATGTTAAAAAAAAAGAAGGGTTTATTCCATTTTGCAATGATCTACGGTTAGAAATATGTGAAGGTCTGGAGAAAGAGTAATACTATGAAGGAAAACAGTTCATAAAGCAAAGCTGTATTATTATTTTTATTTTCAAATTTTATTATTCCGAACTTCAGCAATTTAGTTTCCCAGAGCTAATCGTGCGCATTTAGCCATTTACGGTGGTTCATAAACATTTATTGTTAATGTACATTAAGGGAAAAATTCTTTTCCGGCTTCAAAACCCCCCTTCCTGTTTCTTCCTGCTTTGTGCTCCTCAATTTATCCAATCTGTGAATGTGAATATGCATTTTGGTTTCTTCCAAAACATTTTTTATTGTTAACAAAAAACTCTCATGTTGACTCCTTTCCGGTGGACAGTTACTACCATAATTGAAGCCAAATGCAGTAATTTTTATAGATTGTGAATTTTGAGGTTTAAGGGTAGTCTGAGAGATCAAAACTAGAATTCCTATTTGAGTTTCTTGATTGCTATGCATTCCTTTTTCTTCTGTTGGTATTGGATGCTGTAAGATGTTGATATCGAACCCTTTCAGGAGGAGTTCTTCGAAAGTTTTGGCATCATAGAAGTTTTGAGAAGTTGATAAAAGATTTATTGCACGTTGCCTATATTTTGTGTAGCTGGAAAGTGGAAATCAATGACAAGAAGGATGTAAATGAGAAAAGAGAACTTAGATGCAATGGAAATTTACTTTTATCTTTCACATCTGTAATATTTTTGTATCTGATCCTATTGAGTTGTCTGGACTTTTGACTCTCACAGTAGATCACCCGATGATGATAAAAATGAGGATCATCTTTTACACTCAGCTCCAGAAATCCGTGATGTTTTCGGGGACTCGGACGATGAAGAACAAGAAGAGTATGCAGTTCAAAATCAGATCGAAGATGAAAATGTTTGTATAAGATGTCCTAAGAGCAACTCGATCATTGTTTTTAATGTTTGCTGGTGCTTCTGTTGCATTTTTGATACACATGAAATATATGAATACATTTTACCATATACAGAGATCCCCTGTAGATGAAGAGGAAACTTTTGAGAAAGAACTGAGGCCAGAGGATATGATTCTCGATGAAGATGCCCCGTATGAGTCCGACGAAGAGCATGCTGAGGCTAGACCCAAAGAAAAGCCCGTTGGCCCTCCTCTGGAGCTGGAGATTCCTCTGCGTCGTCCCCCAGCTGACCCCGATAAGGTTTATCTCCAGTTTTGTGACATTTACAGCCTACCTCTCTAATATCTGCTATTTTCTATGATTCTTGATTGCAATTATACCCTTATAACATAAAAAAAGC